TATGTATGTATGTATATATATGAGGGGGGCCTGGGGTATGTGTGTGTTTGTTGTATATATATGTATATATTTGCGTGTGTGTGTATGCAAGTGTGTCTGTGTAAGTGTGAGTGTGTGCGTGCGTGCGTTTGTGTGTGTGTATGTATGTGCGTGACCATTGCTACATACATGAATAGGCTTATAATAACATGTCTTAGTGCATACATAGGTGTTTACCCATATGACATGTACACCTCTGTCTCCACTTACACACCCATCGCCACCACTCACACTGCTCTCTCTCTCTACTATTTTTAGGCCGCACTCTGGACACGAATAAAAGGCGAGGCTTCTGTGGCAAAATCCATCGATCTGATTGGATCGTTTGCAGATGCGTTCGTACCCGAAGGTATGAGGTGCCCCGCTTTTCAGTAAGCCTAATACGTGAAGTGAACGGGTATTGCTATGGGATCACTGGGAGGTGTACAAATATGTTTATATTCATATAAACATATAGAAAATTATACAAATATCTGCATACACATGTATACGTACCTAGACTACACAAATACCTTTATGTTTCTATATACATTCCTAACTTGTACAAAATATCCACATACCTGTATATATACCTGAGTTACACTAGTACCTATATACATACCTACATATTTACCTAACTTATACAACTATCTATATACTTATAGTTATTCCTAGCTTATTTCAATACTATATATATACCCAAGTTACTATAAGTGCCAAGTGTGTACGCAAACAGATTGCATGTGACTACTTTGCTGGTACGATGGCCTTTTGAGATCGAATGATTGATTGGTGTTTATTGCATCGATTTAAACTTTGTTGCTGTGTTGGGATATTCGGTAGCTGACATGCACCTGATTCTAGTGTGCAAGGACCGGTTCGCGCCGCTTTCGAGTCCGTGTGGGTATCGATGGTGTCCTTTTTTGCTCGAGAAATGGACACTTGTGCACCTTGTTTTTGCATACTGGTTCTTTGTGCTCTGGCTCACCTACCTACATACGCTGTTATATAGACGCCAGTGCGACGATCGCGGTCGATATTCGCAGAGACGATGCCATATGGGAAATCCTGCAGGTGTGTGGTCGGCTGATAGTCTCTCTGTGTTACATAATGGGCAAAGTATATGGTTTATTATTATTTTTCACTAATTAATTGAATGTTGTCATTATTATTCTATTTATATTTTATGAAACTAAGTTTATAACGATCTTTAGGGCTTAGAGTGTGGTTATTGGTAACGAGTACGTGTGCACACAGTGAGTGCGTGGTCGGGTGCGTGCATGTGTGTTGGGTGTTGCTTTGAGATATGTAGTCTACCTGGATCATGCATCCTGAGTTGCTGTATCGGAAGGAGGTTCTATTTCGTCCTCGTGTAGGTTTTATTGTAGAATGTGTATACCAAAAGCACATATATGACTATATATATATATATATATATATATATATGTATTTTCTTCCATGTAATATAAGCTCTTAACTCC